CCGCGGCCACGCTGCTATCACCGTAGTGCGGCCCTGCGGAGGCTCGGCAGGCGCCATTCTGACGGCTGGGCCAGGGCAACACCTCACGGCCACCGTTTTACTTCCCCCCCCATGGGTGCCTTTCCCTCGCCGCGGGGCCTCTCGGCTGCCACGGCCCTGCTCGGGCAGAGCAGGAGCACAGCAGCCATTTTGCTGCCTGAGGCAGGACACATCGCTGCAGGCCTCCGGGCCCTGTCTCAGAAGAGCAGCACCTCACAGTGACCAATTTACTTTTTCCGACCTCTGCCTTTGGCACTATGACCAGGCCTCGAGGAGGGTGAGAGACGTGTAGGGGTTCCAGCCATCTCTGAACTAATCAAGCTGATGAACAGAGTCCCAAAGTTCTAGTGCACGGAAGAGTGTCATCTCCCTACATACCCTTACCACTTACTTAACTCAGTGTGCAGTGTGGGCTTGAATGTCCAGGGCTAGAAGAGAGTGCTGGAGGAGCCTAAAGGTCATTCTAATTAAGTGTTGCCTGGGACACTCATTTTTGGACTGAGCTGCTGGGAGGGTTTGTGCAGTCATACGAATTTCCCTTCATTCAGCCCTGTACTACTCTGCACCTGGAGGTGCCAGGAGAGCATCCTCAGGGCCAGCCCTGCAGTGAACCTGCCTCTAGTCTGTGAGAAAGGCACATTGTTACTGTAGCTACATGATTTACTAACCAGACCATTTCTAGGGTTTACCAGGATATTTCCAACTCATTAATCTCTTTCTATTTGATGGCATTTAAAAACAGGGGACAGAGAAAACTAAGGTGTAACATAATAAAACTCCCCTTAAAACACCTGGAGAGAGGTTTTTACTGGGGTATGCAGTGTATCTCCTGTCTGCTCTTCAGTCTGTGCTTACAATAGTCTGTTCCTGCCTCCTTTGCAGCCAGCCATGAAAGGGTGAAGTCCAGTGTCAACATAACTGATGGAGAGAAGATTTTCACTGTGGCTTCCTGAAAAGATGGTGAATGGGTACCTCAGGCTGTGCCCCTGTGAAAATACATGCCCTCAAGGGGAACAACAAAGCCTGCTGTAAAGGAAGGCAATGCAGAATTGCAACACATCTGATGCCTCTTCTGTTGCTTTTCTCAATCCACATATTCTTTTCCTTTCTCTTTTTCCTCAAAGCCTGGCATCGGGTCTTTAGCACTGTCCTGGCAACACAAGTGGTGCTAACATCGTGGTATGAGGGAGGAGGACCGGTAACAGCAGGAAACTAAAGCTAAATGATGGGGAGGGAGGGGAATGCTGGGGGCAGGGAGCTGTTGGATGCATGTACAGTGTGGGCCGCACTATCCGTCCTCCTGCAATCCCAGCTCCTGCTATTTCATGTGCTTAAGAGACATCCTGTAAATGATAAAGCGGAATGTTTCCTCTGAAGTGAACTGATAAAATAGCACATTTCAATGGAATATGGTTCCATCAGTGCTCCTCTGTCTTGCTCTTGAGACAGTCTTCATGCATAAAGTACTGTTGTTTGTGAAGAGCAAGAGCTTCGAGGGCTGACAGCAGCTGTAAACTGTAGTGGCCCTGCTTTAGCAAGTGCAAAGTCACATGTTTGCCTCTAGTAATGGCTTTTCGGAGCTGCACATTGCAGTGAGTCATGCTTTTTTGTCATACTTCAATTTGTGACAGCTCACTTCAGGTCAGGCAACTTAATATTTTCACATGAATGGTCTGTGTGGTTCAATTTTGGCTGTGGCAGTAGTGTCTGACAGCAAACTTTTAGCACCTGCATATAGCTCTACCTGTCTTAACCCTTAATTATGGACGCTGAAGGCATTTTTTTCCTCCTTGTCTCCTAAATACCTCAGTTAAATTATGCAGAAAAAATTGCATCCTAGCCCATTGCATAAACTCTGAAGAAACAATTAGGGAATGAAAAGAAATACTCATTTTGAAAACAGAAAGAGTAATGGCTGTTTTTAGTGTAAAATTTCTTCTTATTTACAAATCTGGGGTAAAAATTAGAAAGCAAATATTTTTGACAAGTTATAAACAAATATAAAGGACCAAACCTACAAGTCTGGCTGAAAAGTCCATTCTCTGTGGGCAAATGATAGTAGGTGATGATGTGGAGGAGCAGTGTGTGATGATTATTTTCATACTCTGCTTAATTATAAATTAAGTACAAATTAGTGATATTCACTATGCCCACAGACTGCAGCTGTTTTAACTCATTCTTCTTAGTGTAGTGTTAGGTAGACTATTCCAAGTGCATGGCAGTTATGTGTTTCAGCAGTCAAAGCTGCTGAAAGTAAAAACTTGCTCTGCTGCTCATGCAGAAATAACCCAAAGTGCAGCAAACTGGGCTTTATGTTTGAGGTTTTTATGTATGGTACAAAATGGGTACTTGCAGAGACCTGCTGCAGGACTGTTGTTGGGAGGCCTATGCAACATGCAATAATTCAGTGGTGTTTATAAAATGTGACATACCTGGCATTAATCAAAACAGGTTTTTCATGTACCTTCCAGAGGAAAGCATTTTTCTGTTGCTCAATTAATGCAACCTCATGGCTGATGATATGTGTCTGGTTTTTATGGAAGTCAGCAGCCTATAGCTTGCTGCACCTTGTCTGTAATTTTGTGTCCCTTATTTTAAAGCAACAGTTGACATAGGAAAAAGAAGAATCACTTAAATATTGGTAATGGTTGATTTTCACCATGACAAGCTAGCTAAGTCAGCTGCAATAGCCACAACATGGTGTTGAAGAGATAAATGCCCCGGTGACACAACACTTGATAGAATGATGTATGTGTTGATTAGTCCGGTGAAAAGTACTGTCTAGTTGTACCATCAAGCTTAATGAAACCATGATGAAATATTTTTGAGAGACTTTTTTGTGTCTGCCATGGTAGAATGTGTGGAGGACCAACTTCTTATCACAGCTGGTGAGTGAGCCCACCAGAGGAGGGTTATGTTAGATCTGTTGTTTGCAAATAGAGATGGGCTGGTGGGAGATGTGCTGGTTGGAGGTTACTTGGGGCATAGTGATCATGAAATTATAGAGTTTTGATATTTGGTGAAATCAGGGGGAACATCAATAAAGACTTTTACATTAAAACTTTTGGAGGGTAGACTTTGGCCTATTTAGGCAACTTATTCAGAGAGTTCCTTGGGAAGTAGCCCTTAAAAACAAAGTTCAGGAAAGGCGAGTGTGCTTCTAAACAGAGATCTTGAGGGCACAGGAACAGACTGCCTGCGTGCCTAAAGATGAGTTGATGAGGCAAACAACCAGCCTGGATGGGCAATGAGGTTTTGAAGGATCTTAGGAGAAAAAAGAGTGTCAGGTTTCTCAGTATTAAATACTCAGAAGTATTTAAGGGGATTGGTAGGGCATGTAGGAAAAAAATAGGGAGACAAAAGCTCAGTTCAAACTTAATTTGGCAACATTTGTAAAATATAATAAAAAATGTTTTTACGAATATATTAATGGCAAAAGAAAGGGTAAGACCAACCTTTATTCTCTACTGGATGCAGGAGGGAACTTAATAACTACAGATGAGGAGAAGGCAGAGGTGCTTAACACTTTCTTTGCCTCAGTCTTTAGTGGGAAGACAGCTTGTCCTCAGAACAACTGTCGTCCTGGGTTGGTCGATGGTGTCAGGGAGCAGAATGATCCCCCTGATATCCAGGAGGAGGAGTCAGAGAACTGCTGAGCCACTTGGATGTTCATAAATCTATGGGACCAGATGGGATCCATCTCAGGGTGATGAGGGGGCTGGCAGATGATCTTGCAAAAAACTCTCCATCATTTACCAACAGTCCTGGCTCACTGGTGAGGTTCCAGATGACTGGAGGCTGGCCTATGTGATGCCCATTCACAAAAAGGGTGAGAAGGAAGATCCTGGTCAGTCAGCCTGACCTCAGTACTAGGTAAGGTAACAGAACAGTTTATACTGAGTGCCATCATACAGCACTTACAGGTTGGCCAGGGGATCAGACCCAGCCAACATGGGTTTAGGAGGGGTAAGTAGTATTTGGTCTCCTTTTATGACCAGGTGACCCTGGTGGATGCTGGAAAGGCTGTGGATGTGGATGTACCTGGATTTCAGCAAGGCCCTTGACACTGTCTCCCACACCATACTCTTGGAAAAGCTGGAAGCCCTTGGCTTGGACAGGAGCACTCTTTGCTGGGTTAAGAACTGGCTGGATGGCCAGGCCCAGAGAGTGGTGGTGAATGGTGCTGCATCCAGCTGGCTCCAGTTGTGGTGTCCCTCAGGGGTCTGTGCTGGGGCCTGTCCAGTATTTTTATTGGTGACATGGATGAGGGTATTGAGTCTTTCATCAGTAAATTTGCAGATGACACTAAGCTGAGAGTGTGTGCTGATCTGTTGGAAGATAGGAGGGCTTTGCACAGAGACTTGGAATGAATGGGCAGAGTCCAATAAGATGAAGTTTAGTAAGTCCAAGTTTTTGGCCACAAAAACCCCCAGCAACACTATAGGCTGAAGGCAGAGTGGCTGGACAGTGCCCAGGCAGAAAGGGACCTGGGGGTACTGGTGACATCCGGCTGGACATGAGCCAGCAGTGTGCCCTGGTGGCCAAGGGGCCAATGGCTTCTGGCCTGGATCAGGAATGGTGTGGCCAGCAGGAGCAGGGAGGTCATTCTCCCCCTGTGCTCAGCACTGGTGAGGCCACACCTGGAGTTCTGTGTCCAGTTCTGGGCCCTCAGTTCAGGAAGGATGTTGAAATGCTTGAGTGCGTCCAGAGGAGGCGACGAGGCTGGTGAGGGGCTGGGAACACAAGCCCTGTGAGGAATGACTGAGGGACCTGGGGTTGTTTAGCCTGAAGAAAAGGAGACTCAGAGGTGACCTTTTCACTCTCTACAACTTCCTAAAAGGTGGTTGCAGTCAGGTGGGGGTTGGTCTCTTTCTCCAGGCAGCAACAGACAGAATGAGAGGACATAGCCTTAAGCTGCACCAAGGGAAATATGGACTGGATATTAGGAAAAAGTTTTTTATGGAAAGAGTGATAAAGTACTGGAATTGTCTGCCTGGGGAGGTGGTAACATATCCCTGGATAGAAAGACTGTATGTGGCACTTGGTGTCATGGTTTAGTTGAGGTGTGCAAGCATATGTGGGACTTGATGATTTCAAAGGTCTCTTCCAGCTTAGTGATTCTGTGATTCTGTAATCAAGTTTTAATGGACACTCAAGATAGATCTATTCTGAACCTTATATAGACTTATCTTTCTTTAGCCATTATGTTAATCTCAAACCAAACAAACTAAAGAAAAAGAGGAGGACAAAAATATCCAATAAAGGAATTCTAATAAGGAGGAAGCTTGCAACAATCAGCAAAAGTAAAGAAAAACATAGAGAATTAAGTAACATTGTACAATCAATCAAACTTCTATATTATGTCTATATTGTTGGTTGCTAAGTTTGCAATTTTTATTTATAAAGTATTTCAATTGCTTATAAAGAATTACACAGCTAATCAGTTAGAACTGACATACATTTTGGCTAAATACCTATAATTACAGTTGTTTCATACCTGAGCCCATGTTACTGATGTTGTGTAACAAGCAGTCCTGATTGCTGACATCAGCCCACTTAATGTTCCTGCATTTATGTGATAATTAGATAAAATCAAATAAAGTCTTTCTAGTAACTTTATAAAATGAAGTAAATATATTTACTGAGATTAGCGTACATCTAAAATATTATTTATGAGTTCATCTTTCTCTGTCAGTGAAAAGGAGCATAAAAATACATAAGAGTTTTATCTAGGCAATGTTACTTTATAAAAGTAACAGTATGTAGGTCTGTGATATGTGAAGTGAGATTTGCAGAGATAACATCTTTGATTAGACCCACTATTCAGAAAAATACAGACAAGTCAAAGTTTTGTGCTTGGAAGGTCTCTGCTTCTCCCAGGTCTGTCAGCTCTTGCTTGCACCCTTAGACCCTCACTGCTACAACATGAAAATGGCACATTCATGTTGACCTAGAATATACAGAGGGCAAATTAAGCTGCCCTTGTCCATGAGCATGTGGCAATGATGTACTGTTTACAAATTAAGCTTCAAAGATATTCTAGAGCATCAGCTTATTCA